TAAGATTCCTCAGAGATTATTCTTTGGAATGTGTGTGAAGTCTCTTGGCTTCTTTAGCTTTCCTCTACCAGTTATGCCATCTGCCAGAATGGATCAGGGTCTGGCTGACCATGTGCAACTTCTCTTAGAATCATCAGGGATATTTCCCTCTTTGATGACCCTTCTATTTGCAGAATGTGCACTTGTTGGCTTCCTGTTCTCTAGGGTCCTCTCAGTCTCCCTGATCAACAGATTAGGTAAATCACTGGAGTTGCAGGGCCAAAGAGGGGTCCTGAAAGTTTCTGGGTCCTGGCTGACCTTATAGGGCAAGGACCAAAGTGTTGGCTGCTTTTCCCCTGGATCTTTTTACTTTCTTGACTTTGGTTTCCAAGTTTTTCGTTTTAAACACTCTGCAGGCCAGTTTCACCAGTCTTAAAGTGAGAGTAACAGGTTATAACTTCACTATCTATAATTTACAGTTACCACTTTCATTTAATTGGTGTTAATATTGGTACTGAAATTCAGCATTATATACTATTAGTCTTATAGAGGATGGCTTATTATGTCAAATTAACTAAAGTTGTTTTATTAGAAGTAGTCTCTCTGCAAAACGCTAACAGGCAATAGTTATAAAGTTTACAAGGAAAATACAAAATGAAATTAACAGAGCAGAAATAAATTAATTTGTAAAATAGCTATAAGCCAAAACTATTATTTTATAATCTTAAAACTTCACTTAGTTGTATATTATATTCCCCTGTTTACTTTGAAATCATAGTAATCTTTACAACAAAATTCGATCTTTTGATCAAACAAATTTTTATCTTTTGAGCTCAAGTCTAGCCTATTTTGGAGTCATTCTAACATGGTGTAAGGTGGGAGGCAGAGTCTTAACTCAGGTAAGATGTGGCTTTTGACAAATAATACAATGTTAATTTTACAATGTCACCTTTAACACATCAGGCTTTTATTATCTTCCAAAAATACATTTAAATTTCAATTCCAATGTGAAGAGTAACACAAAATTATTTATATAACTTATTGACAAAAAGATTACTTTAATCAGCTATAAAACATCAAGTGACATGAATAAATAGCAACCACATTTGTTATTTCTATACAAATCTGAGACTTTTGCTACAGACCATTTTAGCTTGGAGAACACCAATTTGGAAAAGTGCTCTCCTAAGCTTTATATTTAATGAAGTTTAACTTATAAAATATAATTTAGAATCCACAGTTTATGATAACAATAAATCACAGGTCTGCATGGGTTAGCAAAAATCAAAGGTTAGCCTTAAAACTCTTAAACATTTAGAAAACAATGGTTATAAATTGACATAATCAAAGCAAACAAATATAAGACAGATCTTCAAATGACAGTGTGGCCCTTCTATGTCAAATCCAATTCTAAAAAAAAGAACTTATTTATTATCTTGCCCATAAACTTACATAAACTTTCATTTTATAAACTTTTACATGACACTTAGACAAGGCTTAGTCAGATATAGTTCTCAGATACGTACATATACCTATCTAGTCACATATATTAAGGGTGTCAACTATATTGTTATAACCTACAGAACAGTTGTTTAAACAGTTACAAAATGATCATTTAAGACTTTAAAGCAGGTACAAACTCTAATTCCTTTAGGACTTTTTTTTTTCCCTAAGTAATAAGACCAAACAAAAACAAGAAAATTATCCTGACAGATAAGAGCAGATCAATGTTTCAAACTTTGCTTCATATCAGTTCAAATAACTTTGTGCTAATTATAGCCAATTTAATCACAAACACAAACTTTTTGAGATTTATCTTCCACAAACCTTCTGCAACTTACTTAAACATTTACAACTTCTTTACATCCTTAGTTTTATCTCCTTTCATCTTGGAATTTAGAATATTACTTTACCAGACAAAATACTTTCTCATCCAGAGACACTTCTTTTTTTTTCCTTTTTTAACTTTTTTTTAGTTGTAGATAGACACAACACCTTTATTTACTTTTATGTGGTGCTAAGGATCAAACCCAGTGCCTCACACATGCTAGGCAAGTGCTCTGCCACTGAGCCCTAAACCTAGTTCTAAGAGACATTTCTTTTACCTTCTAATTTCCATACTAAAATATTTCCATACCTATAACTTTCTTTCATCTTTTTTAGTTTCAGACCCTTTCTCAAATTTATATTCTGAAACAATCCTTATAAATGTTATCTGTGCATGTGATTAACACAATCATCCCAGGAGAGGTTTGGACAATCTGCCACACACAAAAACTGTCTTATTCTTTTCTCTCCCAGGTGGCATTCAAGAGGTTGTAGCACAGGATGTTTTTGAGGCTGACCTGTCTGCCTCATCATTATTCCAATGACATCAACTTTAGGTGAGTTCTCCACTGCCAACTGTACTCAGAAGCTCCTTTGGGGCCTTTTTCTTACACTAGGCATATTGATATGCAATGGAGGAGGCCCTTTCCAGAGTTTTCTTTAGGCTTCTTTAAAGATCCCTTTGCAGAGGCTGCCTACAAAACATAGGTTGGTCTTATTTTGTCTTTTTATTTTCTGGGTGCAGTTATGTATTCTGCCAGTCTCCCCATTTAGTTAGATGGAATATTGTTATAGCAAGAATTTCTTTGCCCCGTGATGGATATGCCTTGGCCAAATGAGGTGTTCTGTCAGTTCTTAAAAAGGGAAACTATTCCTGTCCCCAGATCATAAACTAACATTGCTGAAACCTACTGCCACATCCTTTGTGGCCAGCAGGCTCCTGGGCAAAAGGGGATGAAAGGCAGGGCAGAGGCCAGGTTCTCTTTGACCATTTTTCTACAGCTTGAGCAGCTTTTCTGGAATTTTTTTTTTTCCAGTTAAAGGCTAGTGTTCTTGACCACAGTGAGGCTCCTTGACCACAGTGAGGTGATCTGCAGCTGCCTGGGGCCAGGCTGAGAAACAGTTCTGGGTTTAAAAGAGTTAAATAATTTTAACCCTTTCTCTGGTATCCTGCTATCTTTGAACACCAGAGCAAGTGCCTTTGGCACCTTCAACTTATCATGCAACTGCCTAAATGCCTGTACACACAGAATCTCCTTCATATCCTTTACCCCTGACAGATCAACTTCAATGTCAAGATTGTATGATAATCCATAAAAGTCATTC